GTGCCGTCAACTGTCGGCACACTTGAACTGGCAGGCTCTCGATCGTGTTGACGTGTTCCTGAGGGATAAACACGAAGTCGGTTCGAGTTCTGCGAACGTCTTGCGGCAAAGGTTGGATATAATATCTCTTATCTTTGCTATGATCGATAGTTTGATCGCTCACTATCCTACCGGTGTCAAGATCATGGATGGTCCTGTGGATGACTGTGTGCCAAAAAGGGGCCTGTTTGCCCGTCACTGGCGTTAAGGTCAAACCTTCATCCACACGAGACCAAACAGACGACCCTGGATGTCCTGTGTCAGCGGAGTCTCGGGCCTGTTCTTCAAGATCTAAGGCGGTCTCTGGCATGGAAGGTGCGATTGTAGGCTCATGATCACAGCAACTGTTGGCTTCCTGAGAGGCCATAACTTCCGAGAACTGCACTTCCTTGCCCTTGGTTTCCTCGGGCAAGACTCGAATCATGAACTGTCCAGCGGAATTGGTGTGGAGAGGCACCTGCACTGCATCGTCAAATATGGTCATGGTGCCTTGTCCGAAGGCCAGTGTTGCCTTGAGTTTCTGAAGAGCTGCGCGCGAGATCAGCAATGGGGCTTGTCCTTGCACGATGGCTGCACGGATGGATCCAGACTTGCCAGCGATTCGAACTGGCATGGCCAGCACCTCAGTGGAGGCCTCTTTTTCACCATTGCCATACCTGAAGTAGTTGATCTCAGGCTCAGGCTCAGGGCATGACATGCCGTGTTGCTGCCACATTTGCTTGAACTTGGCAAGTGTCTCACGGCCGACAATAGTGCGGCCGCATCCTGAATCGATCACCCCGAAACCAGGGCTTGAAACCAGCAGAGTTTCGTGCACGGTCCAATCAGGAATCGAGGAATCTGTTGCTCGCTTCGTGGAACGCAGGATGTCAAGCGGCGACCAACTTGCAAAATGCTGTGCCATAGCAACAAACTGCTCATCATCTTCTTGGACGGGTTGTACCAGGGCTCCACCAGTCTCTGAGGAGCCCTTCGAGGAAGAGGACTGCTTGCCTTTGCCCTTTCCTTTTCGACATTCCTTGGACCAGTGTCCCAATTGTCCACAGCGATGGCAGCGTGTCTTTTTCTTCAACTCTTCAACTTCTACACGAAAACTTCTTCTGAGCTCATTGGACTTGGCGGCATTCGAAGAAAAGTTGCGAGCTTTCTGCAACCTCGACAGCTCTTGCCGTCGATCTTTCCAGCTGATCGCCAATGCTTCTGCGACCTCGGCCTCTTCATAGACTTCTTCTTCAAGAGCCTCGTCTTGCTGATACTCAGCAAGAAATTGTTCAACATCGTTGAAGTCGTCGACGAGGTCGGAGATCTCAGAAACGCGCTCTCCTACGATGGATTCTTCCACCATTGCAACGCCAGCTATGTGCTTCTTCTTCATCACGAACTCGGGGTAGCAGCTGCGCATTGCTTTGCCGATCTCCTCTCGCTTCATGACCCCTAAGGATCGAGCGACGACCACAGCTTTTTGTTCGTCGTTGAGCCCACTCCTGTGAAGGATTCTGAAGGATCAGCCATCCTCGAGCCTCCTCAGGAAACGTGACATTCGTTTTGCGAGCGCATCGATCGAACAACTCAGTGGCACGGCTAATCCAGGCTTTGAGTGTTTCACCTTCGGCGGCACGAAGATTGAAGATCTCGGTCAGCACCTCCGACATCTCATCGGTGACTTCTTTCTGAGGGAATCGCTGATCCAGAAGATCGAACAGAACTTTCTCACCGCCTTCTTTCTGGAATGCGCTAGGATCCAGGTGTTCTACACACTCCAAAGCCTTGCCACTCAAGAGAGTGAAAACATAGGCCCCTCAGGCCTCCTTGGGCATTTTGTCCAGCGTCATCATCTTCGACTGGACCCATGCTTTCCACCGACGGTAGTCCTTGTGGTCTTCGGACTCGCCAGAGAAAAACTTCAGACCACCTTGGTCTTGACTTGTAGCGGCACTCATGGCGGCGCCGAGTTCCTACTCGGAGCCTCGACCGTTTTGGCCGAGGCTCCGCTACCAATGTCGAAACACCGGTAGCCGACCGACTCCAGTCGATCGAAAACCCATCGGGCGATCCTTTTCAGCTCCAGCCGATGAATGTCCCTGCGGATACGACGATCGATATGCTTGCACCTGGAAGGAAGACATGGTTGCGGCACTCATGGAAGTCAACACATATATATATATAATATTTTCATACATATATATATAATATATATATAGACAATATATGAACAAATGAACGCACAGAGATATACCTATATGTACAAATATATGTATATATCTAGTTGAATGTAAGCATTTAATATCAAACATATCTTTCTTATTGCAACTTCCATTCAGCATTTCTTAAGATTTGGGTGAAGCTCCGCTGGGACAGGATGTGTCCTTCGCGCTGCAGCACGGGCAGCGGCTCATGATTTCCGGGCCGTCGGGCGCAGGGAAGACCACGCTCACGCGGGCGCTGGCGGGGCTGTGGTCAGGTGGGGTTCCGGAAAGGTGAGAGAAGGGGCAGGGAAAGCCAGGGAATGAGATGTGGATATTGAAGAATTTGAAGCTCTGAAACATTTTGAAAGTTATTGTCGTTTGTTCGCAGATGTTCGCAGTGATGGTGCTCTGCAATTGGAGTGCGGTTCTCAGTTGTTGGCACTGTCGGCGTCACCGCAGGTGGAGATGGACAGCTCAAAGTTTGCGAGTCAACGGTCTTCCTTCCTCAAGAGATCCTTGGCCATCACTGGATCGGTCATGTCAGGCATCCATCGGTTTGTTGAAGGGCGGGCGAGTCGGGGCCCGGCGCCCAGTGGTGAGTGGAGCTCGCCCTGGGTCTATCTCCCAGAATCTGGGACTGCATCTGAACAGTAACAAGGGGCGAGGTATGCCGAAAACCGTTGGGGGAGGGAACGTTCTTTTCAAGCTTTTTAGCTTGCTATCCCTCGTGTTTTGACGGGCGGCAGCCAGGGCATCCAGCACGTCAAAGATCCAGTCGCGTCCTCTCATTTTGGCCTTGAATCCGTGGACAGGACATGATTGCATGAAAGCAGAACGATTTTTTTGGTATCAAACACACCTGTTTGGGGACCGCTATATATCTCCTGGTGCGAAATCAGATGGACTTGAAATACTGGGGCTCACAACTGGAATGTCTCGAAGATATGTTCCTATCACTCAATACACTGATCAAGTAGACTGTGTCCTATCACTCCCACAGTCTGACGAAGGTCCATCTTTGCTCCATCAACCATGTTCAAAAAGTGGACCCGTTCTTGTGTCCACCCATCACCTTACTGCCCTCATGGCCCCATCATCCGCTTGGTCGTCTCGAACTCTGGACCGAAGTGCCGAGGCCTTACATCCCAGAGGGCTCCCTACGACGAGTGCTCACCTTTCCCCATGCCGTCCGGAGCGACGCCGCGATCCGGGCGGCCGCGCAGCGCGCGCATTTGGAGGATGTCCTGGGCCGCTTTGAGCAGCGCTTGGATGCGGAAGCTGACTGGGAGACGGTGCTGTCACGCGGCGAGAAGCAGAGACCTGGCTGGGATGACATAGGTCTTTAAAAGGTGCTTGGACACGGTCCTACTTGGCATGTGAAGTAGTGTCGATGGACTGTACTAGATGAAGAGTTCGCCAGATCTCTCTCTCTCTCTATGCCAATATTAATATAAGCAATGCCATGCAAAACAACCACGTACCTGGTAGTACCTGGCCTTCCCCCAAACATCACCAAAAACTTAAAAAAGACATGACAGATACTGAACAAATAGCATTTTTTTTTGCAAAGAATACCTGGCAATGTTACTTTTCCGCCCCAAACAAAACCCATCTTCCGCCCAAACCCGCAAAGCCGAGGCGCTGCGCCTTCTGCCGGCTGCTCCTGCTGTCCCCGAAGGTGGTCATCCTGGACGAGGCCACCTCGGCGCTGGACGAAGCGACGGAGGGGCAGCTCTACGAGGAGTTGTTGCAGATGCACTCCACCCCCACGGTGACCTGGAAAAAGGGGAATGGACAAAGGCATGGGATGGGAGGGTTTTTGGATGGGGGATGGAGATGGAAGTTTGGTCATGTTGGGTACAAGGACTTGTCAGGATTTGATTTCGCTTGGGCTCATTTCAAAGGGCCTAAGTGGCCTAAGACCAAGATGAAGTGAAAGACGTTTGCAATGGCATTTGTTGAAGCCCACGCGGCCCGCTACTAGGCATAGCGCGGGCGTAAGTAGCTGTGTGCAGACGTGCGCAGAGATGTGGATCCCACACGTGTACTTAAGGTATCTCAATACGAACCGCCTCTTGAAGGCGTTCCCGCCTACGTCCATCATGATCGGTGGGCTCGATCCCTTCCTTAGATGATACCGTTGACTTGGCGCACAAGGGTCGTATTAGTATTCTCATGTACTACGTCTGAAAACGTAGTGTGCTGAGGTCATCACGATCAGCCACCGCCCTGCTTTGAGCCGGTTTCACACCCATGTGCTGCGTTACGTCAAATGCCCGGAGAACGGGGCGACGCACTGGGCCTTCGAAGCCCTTGGAGAGTCCGGGGCCAGTCACAGAGAGAGCGCTGCCGAGTGGGTGGAAGGGGGTAGAGGGGAGTCGCTTCAGAAGAGGGCCCAAGAAGGTGGGACCTAGTAGATGTTACAGCAAATTAGCGACCAAAGTAGCGATGCACCTGTTATTACTAGATTCCCCAGCGGAACAAACCGGCCACACACCTTTCATTCCGTCCCTTTCATTTCAATTTCAATTTGATGGAGCTGATCCCATCCGCATCCATCACCTCACGGGGTCTTCAAGGGGTGCTTATGGTTACTAGCTCCCTGTGAGATGTGGATCCTGGTTCCTGGCAATAACTTTATTCAGCTATGCTATTTTTCGACCTGGACATATGTTCACAACAGGGTCTTAGGATATTTGTTCTGCATTCTTGTCCTGTCTCCTGTCTCCTCCTTTTCTGCCCTTCACATTCACATTCACCCGCTCATGTGTGGAGGTGACGAAGGTGGAGGAGTTTCAGGAGACGGACCGGGACGAGAGGGACGAGATCGTCGGTTGAAATCAGGGGGGTTTTCGAGATCGTCGGTGGATCCATCCAAAACGTCGCCGCCAGGAGGGCTCGTAATGTAGACTCTTGATTATCTAAAGCACCCCATTTTTCAATGGAACCTCCTCTTCATATGAAGACTCGGTTCCCATTGAAATGGGAACATCCTCTTGATGAGTCAGCACCCCATTGGGGTCTTATGCTCCTCAAGAGAAGACGCGACCAGTGCGACCACCTCCGCGCGGACCGCGCCGGACCGCGCCGGACCGGGTGCGAAGTCCAGGACCCCGCGTCAAGTCCAAACTCTGCTGACAAGGGAGGCGGGAGGGGCCTGACTCTTTGGGGGGTGAAAGGGAAGCGAGCTTCGAAAGGGGAGCTTGTTTGCAGGTCTTTTTTGCATGGAACATGGTGAGCTGTTTGCCTTGAGATGTTGAGGTTTGCCTGAGAAAAGTAGAAAAGCACAAACGTTGCCGTGCTAAAGTGAAGACGCCTCAGATTAGGTGGAGCAGTGCAGATTCCTTCTGCCGATCTGCGCACCAGCTCACCAGAAAACAGACACTGCCCGAATTTTTGCGACATCATTTTGGAGTGGTCAGTGGTACATGTTATCCACTGTAGTTGCTATAGTTCCCCGAGTGCGAATCTCCAGAGCCGCTCGCCATCATACGCATGGAAACCGTCCAGGGCAGGACCACCATCGATCCAGCGCCAGCGTGATCAAAATTCTTGAACCACCACCAGGTGATAAAGCAAGCACCGGTATACTGTAACTTGAGTGGTTCATTTCTTGGACCAGTTAGTAAAGTTTTTTTTTTGTTTTTTGAACAAGGCCAAGTACATATTACGCCAATATTTTGAAAGATTACGCCAATCTTTTGTCAACAAACTATTTCTACAGCGCTCCATTGGGATTGGTGTGCAGCAAGCGTAGGCATATAAATCAATCAGCCCCACACTCTTTTGGAACTAGCGTCTCTTTGGGTCTACTTTTTTGGTGAGAAATCTTGTTTGGGTATCAGCGTTCCATTGGGAGCAGCTCCCTTGGAAACAGCGTTGCCATGGTGATTTGGCATTGAAACAGTGGCAAGGGATGACTAAGGGATGACTTTGTCAGGTTCCTGTACCGGTATACTGTAACTTAAGCGGTTCATTTCCTGTACCAGTCAGTAAGCGATGATCAATTTTTGAACAAGGCCTGCAACTGAATCATCATCATCCACTGTTACGGGTAATGGGATAGACACAAGGTATAACCTGGTTGGCAGGTGGTTTGTTCGCGCAGGCATGCCGCCCATCGACGACGAAGACGACTTTGCGGATGTCAACGTCACGGCCGCAGTGGACAAGCTTCTGGCCATGCCCTTCGAAGCGGCACTGAAGGAGTGCAAGGAGCTACGAGCCTATGCCGCTGAGCTCTGCAAGTTCGAGTGGACCAGGTCACATGGATCCGGTCGACATTTGCCCAGCCCGGCCACGACATAGAAAGAGACGGTTGCCCGGTTACTGATGGAGAATGTCACCCCTTCTTTCCCTTACGTAGCACCCCTCCAGAAAGCTGTGCCTAGCGAATCATGGATGTGCTGATTTTGGTTAATGGGATCAGGCGCATGGTTGTAGAGAGAGAGAGAGAGAGAAAGAGAATAAGAAACAAATTCAGATCAAGAACTTTGAAAGGCATCCAATCTACTCAAGAGTTCCCACACATGTATGGCATGATGTCTGGCAGATCTGAATGCTCGTGCCACCATCCCTGGATGGTGGGCGATTCTCCTGGGAGAAAAGCATCATGTAGATTCCAAGAAACCGATGCCAAGACTCCCATCTCAGACCAGAACCACTCACCGAACCAGACTTCCCATCCCGTCTCCCACACCATTCCACCCTGGAGCGAGGTGCACAGCTCGGAGCGGAGCAAAGTGGAGATCCAGGAGCTGGAGGTCCTCCTGGCTCGTCCCGAGCGCAGTTTTTCTCGCTTCATTTGTTAGTTCTCGTTTGGGCGATGGTTGCCTTGTGAAGTCTTCATGTTCTACCGTGGGGAGACGGGGCGGCGGTGAACGTGTGTTTTTTCTTCTTTTTTCCAACTCATTTTCGTTTTCATTCTTGGCTCAGTGAAATCCGTCCGCACACGGTCCACAGGTGGTTGGGGTGAGAAGGTGTTGAAGAGTTGGGGCGGCAGGTAAACCAAAAGGAAATATGGGTGTGGAAGCTGCGATGGCTCGTGGGACTAGATGACATTGGGGCCTCGCACGATTGTTCAGTCCATCTGAGGTCACCGAACTGCATGAAACCTTCGTTTTCGGTGCACGATCTCTCGGGTCTGCAGTGGTTCGCCCCACGCAGCAGCCGAACCCGGTGCTTCACTCCTTTCTCCGCGCCCCACGGATCGGGCAGTCCGCTGATCGCCGCAGGCAGAGATCAAAGACTCCTGGAGCTCCGACGCGCCCACCGAGCTGCGAGATCTCTTGGACACTTGGGGCTCGGTCTGGGGGGGTACCCGAAGAGGCTGGGGGCTGGAAGTGGGAGCCGGAAGTGGACTGGGATTCGATGGGTTATGATAGGTTGGGGGGCATGACGTGGATGAGAGGTTAAAATCTCTTCCTGTATGCACCATGGTGTAGTGGACAGCTGACCCTCTTGGTAGAGCAACATCGTCTTTGAAGGGGCCAGAACGTCCACTTCCATGATTGTTGTGGGGAGGGTATCTACGAATCTACTAGACTGGCAGGTTTGGACATCGGACCCTGTAGTAATCTGAAGTATACTGTAGTTACTGTAGTTGGTAGGACCTGAAGACCCACAGATTGACTGCTTCAACTCGCTTTCTCTGGTGGGGCCCTCCGTTTCCACTTCCCACCGTGCTTCTTTGAGGAGGAGCTGCTCTTCCCGGAGATTGCGAAGCGAAGAGCGGCGCATGCGGGGCCCCTGTCTCGATTGTAGCCTGTCCAGGTGGAGCGCATCATTTGGCGCCCAACTCTTGGGCTTCTAACCTGAGCTGCAAAGCTAGGTGTAGGCAGTAGGGCAAGCCAGTATGTCCAATTGGCCTTTCATGGCCCCTTTGGAATGCTTCTAGGCCTGGCACGGGACTTGTGAAGTCTGGTGCTAGGAGAAACCAAAGTCACCAGGTGAGCCGGAAAACTGAGCCAAAGTGGCCAGTGGGTGGGCACTTGGGTGGGTCGCAAGCTTCATCGTTCTCTCTGACCAAAGCCATGCATGATTTAATTATTTTTGGGTGGTGCTGGCTAATCACTCGATGGCTGGCGATCCACCGTCTTCCCAGCCTAATCCAACCTCCCAGGCTGCTATGGGAGCGCTGGGCGAACCTCATCTTCGCGGAGGCCAATTGCTGTGCGAGAGTGGTCAACTTCGGATGAGGGTCGCATGGCCCAGCTCCTGTATTGCGAAGCTCCTGCTAGTTCTCCGTGGGGCATTCCGGTAGTTATTCTCCGTGAATGGGGGCTTCCAGTATTTCCCTGACTAGTTCACGGGTGGGGTTTGGGTTTGCTGCCCTTATTCTATGTCACTCCTTCGTGCTGTTTTGGATTTGCCACTTGCTTTTTGAGAGCGTGCTTGATGATGCCAAAGTGTTGTGTACCCAGGTTGGGTCAACAACACGAACATTTCATTAATGGATTTTATTAAGATGCCAAAGAATACCAATCCCATATTGAATTCATGGACCCTTCATCCTACAGCTGTATCCTCTCAATCTATTCGTGGCCGAACAATCCACATAAAGTAAAACGAGATTGACCCAGATATGCAACCCTTTTTGTAATGAAGAACTCTTAGCATATTCAACTAAACAGGAGGGACAATGAACACCACAAAAAACATTAGACCTTTTCATACCTTTTCCAGATAGCCTGTTGACAATCTCTAGCGCCAGAGAGGTGCACAGAGAGAGAGAGAGAGACAGACAGACAGACCTGGTCAGTATAAGCCGATCAACGCACTTGAGCCCCAAACCCGCACTTGCGGAAGCAGAAAAGGCATTTCCGCACAATCCGGAACACTGCCACTCTTCATCGAAGGATAACTGAGACCGTTTTGACCATTGTATCCCATGTTCACTCCTTGTGAATGGTGTGGCACTTTCTGTTCTCGCAACGCCCGGACCCTTCGCACCCATGTCATGTGCTGGTCCCACCGCACCGCCCGGCACCTCTCGGCTCCAGCGTGCTCGATCCAGCCATGGCGCCCGGACGCAAGCGCGACCGCTCCAGAACGCCGGAGGCGGGGCAAACAGGGCGGGGAGAGAGTGGGAGAGATCCTCAGTTGTTGAGATGAATTCGCCTCCCTGCAACTACCTTCATGGTCTAGAGTCTACTGTAGTGGACAACCTCCTGTTAATATGAGATTATATCACCATGAGAAAAACATATTAGTATATGTCTTCCGAGCGGCCAATTGTCCACTTTCATGAGTGGTTCGCAAGTATTGAGTTATACCTCATCACCATCTCCAGAGATCACTTAGATATCCCCGCCCTACCGCTCTAAGTCACATAGTTTTTGCAGAGTTACAACTCTTACTAAGACACTGCCCCAGCAGTGTTGAAGTGCGAAAAGACCACTGACCCGCAGCCAGGTGCCATGGGAGCTCTTGCCCAATGGTAATGCCGTAGGTATTCGCTCCACAGGCAGGTCTGGGAAGCGGGAGCCGAGGCTTCGGATGCGCCCAGGGCGAATGGCCTGCCTTTGGTCATGCAGGACACAGGGGCCCTCAGGTCAGGTCTGGCCGAGGTCAGGTCGTGGGAAAGGCCTACACCCCATCCAAGTTGCACCAAACAAGGGGACGTAGAACCAACGAACAACCCGGTGGGCGCCAGTTCCTGCCAGGCTCTCGGTCCAGATCAGTTGGCACCTGGCCTTTCAAAAAGAGGGCTTGGGCTCAGGGAAGGCAAGGGTTTCAGGGCGGGTGAGGTTGGAGAGCTCCTCCAATCCGTCATTTCTTTGCGGACACCTGGGAGATGATTGCTTTTGGCCGTGAACACCTGCTCACGGTCCTGCCACCAATATGATCCACAGACTCCACGTTGACATCTTCAACTGAAATTTTTTGGGGAACATCGGGGAACCCGCCCATTTTGCGGCCCCCTCTTTGGTCTTTGGATAGTAGTCTTGGCATCCACTTGCCAGGATTCTTTCTGGGAGAACTCTTCATGACCAACGTGAAGAGTCCAGAAAGACTCAAGAACACCCCAACAAATACCTAGCCATTCCACTGACCCATGTTTTCCGGGCTTGAAACACAGTCAAGGGCCGCACCTGTTTCTGCTTTCGAGAACAAAAGCCTTCGGTGTTCGCACCGTCTGTCAAGAGACTCCCCCTTTCGCACTTTGCGAAATCATGAGGAAAAGGTTGGCTCAAGGCTATCGTCCAGCCGAGCTCTTCCAATACTCGGCTCTCATTCGGTCCATTGACCAGCCTTTCTTGGCGTTCATCTTCTGAAATCGGTTCCAGGGATTTGTCGGAACCTTTTCAGCCAGTTGGCTGTACTTAAAAACAGGCTTCTCTGCAGCCCTTTGCAGCATCTCAGACACTGCTTCGGCACTTTCAGCAGCACGATCGGCGGCATTTGCTGCCCTCAAAGCGATTCGCGCAGCCTTTTCTGCTTCTGACACGGCCTGAATGGCCTGAGTGCTCGACGACGATGGTTCGTCTTCTTGTCCCTGTCTCCTCGGACTGGACCTTCCTCGCAGGGCTTCCGGCGCAGTTGATCGTCCAGCACCACCACCCTGCCACTTCAGAACCCTCACCATAGAGCTCGTCCGGCTCGTAGTGCTCTTGCTTCGAACCCCTTCTTGTTTTCGAGTTCCCTTTGGCGCCATCTCTTCATTAGCGCTCTCTTCTTCATCTTCTCCTTCTATCTCAGAGAGAAGCTCCTCCTCATAGTCCAGCGACCTGGTAGGTGTTCTTCTCATACTTGGTCGCCTCATATTCATTGATGTAGATCGATCCTCCTCTCCATCCTCCTCTTCTTCAACCATGTGCTCTTTCTTCGATTTCACACACAGTCTGCGGATGCAACACCGCACTGAGCCGCACAGAGTCTTCACCACCCATATTGCCCCAATGATCATCAAAATGATGCCACACGTCCAAAGGGCGTCCACGGATGTAGATGCCTCTTGAGTGCTGGAATGTGGGAATGTGGTTCAGCCTGTGCTTCAGCTGCTTTGATCAGCAAACCACCCACCACCAAGGCACGTAGAGCTCCTTGTTGATCAGGTAGTTCATGAGATTGTCCTCCCAAGGCAACCTTGTTCACTTTGGCCTCACTGGATCTCAGGCCAAGGTCTTCCAAGAAACCTGCAAAGCTTTGACCGGCCAGGGGCTTCGTCATGCCATCTGCAACCAGCTCCGTGCCACGTAGATGGTGAAGCTTCCAAGGCCCCCCAGGGTACGAGCTTTGTCCATCCAAAGCTTCATGAAGCAGGTGGGAGCGAACACGTAGGTGTCTGGTTCGCCATGATGACGTGCTGTTGCCATGGGCCAAGCCAATCGCTGCGGCATTGTCACCATACAGAACTCGCTCCAGGGTGTTCTTGGCATTCAGCTCCTCCCCCCACATAGCACACCAAAGCGCCTCTGTTGCTCTTCCAGCTGTGAGCGCTTCGCAGTAGGACACCAACTCCGATTCTGCCGTGCTGTGGGTGACAAAAGGTTGCGTTGAGCTTTGCCATGCAACCGGAGCTCCTGCCAGGCTCACAACCAAGCCCTGAACGCTGCGATGCCCAGTGCCAGACCCATATGCAATGTCTGCAAACACCTCCAGCAGCTTCTCGTGACGCGCCACCTTCAACTGCCCCCGAGCGCCCCACTTCTGCTTCACCCAGCGAGCATAGTGAAGATCTCCTGGATTGCCCTTGATGTAGGCGAGCAACACATGGGCCACCTCTATGGCTTTCACGGGATTGCGAGTCACCAGCCTGCTGACCGCCGCCACTCCATACGATAGGTCTGGACGCGACCGAGTCGAGAGCCAGAGGAGAGATCCAGCCAGTGCCTGAGCTTCACGAACTTTGTTTATGTCCACCTCCGGCTGCTGTTCACAATCGGCCTCTCCAAGCTTGAAGTGCGGGAAGGACAAGGATGAACTCACCTTCCAGCGGGCCAAAAGTTCTTGCTCATACTTTTGCTGCGAGATGTGATAGCCATCACCCTCCTCATCCATCGTGACTTCAAACCCACAGAAGTGCACTGGCGTGGTAGGTGACGCCCATTCAACACTAGAAGTTGCCCAGGTGGACTGCAAAGTTGTGAGGGCTGCTGCAATGGCTTCCTCCTCCCCTGACATCAAAATGTCATCAACGTAGACAGACATGAGGCCAGACCAGACTTCCTCCCCCGAGATCGTGTCCGTCTCCTCCAGCCGCCATAGGTTGTCATCGGCCGTCTTGACAAAATAGCCTCGGACATTTCGATCTCCTCGAACTCGAACCCAGCTCAGCGATGGCAGGGTCAGATCGCGGTGTTTCGACCAATCCCGCGGAGAAGTCGTCAGGCCGTACATGGCCAATTTCACCAACCAAACCTCTCCTTCCTTGGCTAAGCCAAGTCTTTTGTAGACATTCGGAATCTCCATTGCAACCAGTTTGCCATCATCTCGACGTGGTGCATTGAGGAATGCCACACGGATGTCCGTGGCTGCCAGACTCCACCCTTTCAATGCCGATGTTCTTAGCAGAGCTCTCACTTGACATCCATCGGCTCCTCCGGCGTAGCAATCACTGCTGAAACGCGTATCGGAGTAGTTGCCGCAAACCACAGCTCTTGCCCTTCGTTGGCCGGTTCCAGCCTTGCGGGTGTAGACCATTTTTGCTGGCAATAGTTCAATGGTCTTTTGCTGCTTTTCAGCTCGATGGTGGAGTTCCCGCTTAGAGATTTGTTCAACCGCCTCCTTGGTTTCAACCAATTGGCTGTACTCGGCCGTGATGGATGGTACCCAGTTCTCGAAGTCATCCATGACCTCCTTGTTCCCCACCGTTCGGGTGACCAAGAATTCTTCCTCCAATTCTTTCTGGTCCATCTCTAGGCCTTCTTGATCAGCCTTCAGCAGAATCTCCTCGGCCTCCACCTTGTGCATGATGGCTTCAGTGAGCGCCTCCATATAGCACCCTTGCTTGTGGTTGGTGACATCAACGTGCTGCATCTCCTCACCAACATACTCCGCCAGATTCGCTTGGATTTTGCGAACAAAGCCGACCTTCGTGAGAGGGGCATTCCCAAGTGCCACTTTCTTCAATGAGGCCACCAGGCGTGAGCCACCATCCTGGTTGTTAGGCGCCTCCGCCCACTCCCCACCTCCAGTTGAGTCCTCCTCCATCGAATCC